AGTTTCTTGTGAAGAGCATGCAGTTAAGTTTTTTTATCCACTAAATCAAGCTCTGCCTTTTAATTACTGTATTTAAATATTTACATTTAAAGTGATTGATATGTTAGAGCTAAGTCTGACTTTTTTAAATTTGTTTCTTATTTCTTTCCTATGTGTCCTATCTGTTTTCTCTTTTCTTCCTTCTGGTAGATGATTTGCACAAGTTTTAGGATTTTTTCTTGATTTGCTTACAATTGATATTGAGTGTATCTCTTTGAATAACCTCTTTACTGATTGTTCCTGGGTATTATAGTACACATATGTGATTTACCATAGCTTACTGTTATCAGCATTTTACCATGGCAAGGGAAGTGTGGAAAACTTACTTCCTTTGAGGTGCGTTTAGCTCCCTGACATTGACTTAAATATCAGATGGTGTTATAATTCTGTTGCCGCAATCAAATATGATTTATGAAACTGATGAGGAGAAGGATAGTCTATTGTGTGGACCCACGTATGTTCTCTTTCCATTGTTCTCTTTCTTCCTTCCTGATGCTCCAAGATTCTTTCAGGAGTAAAGAACCTTTCCGTTTGGACAATTTACTTTAGCCATTCTTTAAGGGTAGGCCTGCTAATTACAAACCGTTTTTTGTGTTCTATCATCTGACAGTAGGTTTCTTTCCTCTTTATTCCTGAAGGATATTTTTTGCCAGATATAGAATTTGCGATTGTCTATTCTTTCCTTTCAGCACTTGACATTTCTGCTGCTTCCTTCTGGCATCTATGGTTTCAGATGATGAGGAATTCTCTGTCAAACAAAATGGTGCTCCCCTGTAGGTAATGTATCTGGCTGCTTTCAGATTTTTTTCTTTATTTTTCAGAAGTTTAATTTTGGATTTCTTTGGATATATAGTGTTTGGGTTAATTCAGCTTCTTGAATTTGTAGGTTGATGTCCTTTGCCAAATTTGGGAAGTTTTCAAGCATAATTTTTTTAAAATTATCTTTCAGCCACAGTCTCTTTTTTTCCTCCTGTGGGACCCTGGTGTTAGAAATTTTGGATCTTTTGTTATTGTCGCATAGGTCCTTGAAGCCCTATTTTTTGTTTATTTTTTTCCTCTGTGTTTTTCAGATTGGGTACAATCTGTTAATACATCCTCAAGCTTACAGAAACAATTTGTAATCTTGGAGCATCAGGAAGGAAGAAAGAACAAGGGGTTGCATCTCCACTACTATTGAGCCCATCTAATTCTTTAAAAAATAATTTCAGTTATTGAATTTTCAGTTCTATAATTTCTCATTGTTCTTTTTTAAAATATAACTTCTGTTTCTTTGCTGAGACACTTTTATTTTTTCATTTGTGTCAACGTAATTGTAATCAATTGTTGAAGCACTTTTATAACAACTGCTTTAAAATCCTGGCCACATGATCCCAACATCTGATTCATCTCAGTACTGCATCTGTCTTTTTTCACTAAAGTTGTGATTTCCCTGGTTCTTGTTTTGACTGGTGATTTTTAACTGTATCCTGGACATTTTGGCTATTATGTTATTAGACTGTTTTTAGGATTAGAACCCTGGCTACCTTTGTGGACTATGGTTACAATGATAATTTAATTTTTGCAGCCTTCATGGTGCTATTTTGATCTGCTTGGTGCATCTGGTGCTGCTGAGGCTCCAGTGGTCCCTCCTGGCGCTGCCACGGGGAGTGGAAGGAATTTAACTACACTGGTGCCTCTAGATGAGGGAAGGGACCCTCTGGACTCTGGTATGGTAATAAAGAGTGCTTTCTGGGCAGGATCCCCCACCTCTGGGGGCAAAGAGCCCTTCCTGGGATGGTAGGATCCTCCTTGCTGATGGCTCTCTGCTACCTGGTGTCTCTGGGTGGAAAAGGGAAACTTCAGGCCTGGGAGACAAAGAGGATTCCTGGGCTCAAGATAGATCAAGACTACCCTTGCCAGTAGTGGTCCGTTTTCTGGTATCTCTCAGTGCAGAAGGTTCTCAAGCCTGTAGGAAAGAAGAGCACTTCCTCTGGTCACATTCTGTCGGCAGGGTTCCTGATCCATCGCTCTTAGCCCTGACTCCCATTCCATCCAGGGGGCAATGAGCCTGCCTGGGCCACTTCTTCTATTGCAGAGTTGGGGCCCTAGTTAGTTTCTTCTAGTAGGTGGAGGGTTTTAAGAACCGGTAGCCTGTTGTTTCCAGTTCTGTCTCTAATCAGTTCATCTTCCTCTTTCCTCCTCTCAGAGCTCTCCTTTGGATGGCTCTGACACTAAGGAGAAATCCTCTGGGACCTAGGGCCAGGCAAATATTTCTTAGACTTGACACTAAAACTGCATGATACCAAAATTGATAACTTGGACCTCATCAAAATTAAAAAAACTTTTTGCCCTGTGAAAGACCCTGTGAAGAAGATGAAAAGGCAAGCTGCAGACTGGGAGAATATATTTTCAAACCACATATTTGATGAAGTAATAGTATCTCAAAATTCAGTAGTATCAAGAGAGTGAGAAAACAAGCTACAGACTGAAAGAATATATTTGCAAAAGTCACATTTGATAAAGGACCACTATCCAAAATATACAAAGAACCCTTAAAACTCAACAATAACAAAACTAACAAGCTCAATAAAAAAAATGGGCAAAGACCTGAACAGACACTTCATGAAAAAAGCTCTACGGATGGCAGCTAAGTATATGGATAGATGCTCCACATCATATGTTATCAGGGAATTGCAAACTAAACGACGATGATACCCTCCACTCTTCACAGAGTCAGAGAGTCCTGGCTCACGGTTCCAGCAACTGTGCCTTAGTGACACCCAAGAGGATGCCCTTGGGCCAGGGTCTACGTGAGTATGGGCATTGGCTCAGGTCTGTGCCTTGTTTGCTGATCAAAGCCAGGGGCTTTCTGCCTGATATTTTAGATAATGTGTACAAATGTCTGTGATTTATTATAGCCTCAGCTGAATGCCTTCTGTGGCGAAAGAGGTGGGGTAACAATCATCACCTGTGTCCTGAGAGAATTGACTAGATAATTTTAAGAATTAAAAACAAAAACAAAACAAAAGAACCAATGAGATATCATTATACACCTACTAGAATGGCCAAAATCCAAATCATTGACAACACTGCGTGCTGGTGAGGAGGTGGGATGACAGAACTCCCATTCATTGCTCGTGGGAGTGCAAAATGGCATGGCCAACTTGGAAGTCAGTTTGCAGTTTCTTACAAAACTAAACACAATTTGTTCTAGCAAATTCTACTCATTGGTATTTCCCCAAATTTACTGGAAACATGTCCACACAAAAATCTGCATGAGGATGTGTATAGCATTTTTATTCATAATTACCAAAACTTGTAAGTAACTAAGATGTCCTGCAGGAGGTGGTTGGATAAATAATCTGTGGTACATCCAGACAATAGAATATTACTCAGTGCTAAAGAGAGATGAGCTGTCAAGTCATGAAAAGACATGGAGGAACCTCTAAATGCACTTACTAAGTGAAAGCAGCCAATTTGAAAGGCTATGTGATTCCAGCTATATGACATTCAGGAAAAGGCACAGCTATGGAGACAGTAAGAAGATCAGTGGTTGCCAGAGGTTAAGGGGGAGGGAGATGAATAGGTCGAGTGTAGAGAAATTTTAGGGCAGTGAAACCCTTCTGTGTGATGCTGCATCAGTGGATACATATTATTATACATTTGTCCAAACCCATAGAATGTGCAACACCAAGACTGATCTCTAAAGTCCACTATGGACTTCCAGTGATAATGTGTCCATGTAGGTTCATGGATTATAACATATGTACCACACTGGTGAGGAGTGGTGATAGTGGAGGAGGCCGTGCATGTGTGGGAAGTCTGTACTTTTTACTCAGTTTTGCTGTGAACCTAAAATTGCTCTGAAAAATAAAATCTATGATTAAAACCTCAGTAGTGAAAAAAAATTCAATGTGAAAATGGGTAAAAGATATAAATAGACATTTTACCAAAAGGCATACAGATGGCAAATAAACACAAAAAGATGTTCAACATCATTGACCTTCAGGAAATGCAAATTAAAATCACTACAAACCTGTCAGAATGGCTAAAATAAAAAATAGTGACACCACCAAATGTTGGTAAGGATGGAGAGAAACTGGATGGCTCATATATTGCTGATAGGAACATAAAATAGCCCAGCATTTCTGGAAAATAGTTTGGCAGTTTCTTAAGAAACTAAACGTGCAATTACTATACAACCCAGCAATTGCTCTCTTGGGCATATATCCCAAAGAAATGGAAACTTATGTTCATAGAAAAACCTGCTACAGGATTGTTCGTAGCAGCTTTATTTGTAATAGTCAAGAACTGGAAATAACTCAAATGTCCTTCAACAGGTGAATGGTTAAACAAACGATGGTGCACCTATGTCATAGTACTATTCAGCAATAAATAGGAGCCAAATATTGATGCATGCACGTACCTGGATGAATCCCTTAGATGGATCTAGAGGGAATTATGCTGAATGAAAAAAGCCAATCTTAAAAGTTACACTATACAATGCCATGTATGTAATTTTGTTTAAATGAAAAAATTATAGAAATAGAAAACAGATTTATGGTTCCTAGAAATTATGCACAGAGTCAGGGGAATGAAGTGGATGTCTCTATAAAAGGTCAACAGAGGGATCCTTGTGGAGAGTAAAACTGAGGCCATCTGAGTAAGATCAGAGGATTGTATCAATGCCAGTATCCCGGTGGTGACATTGTGCTGTGACGCTGCAAAATGCTGGTGTTGGAGGAAACTCAGCGAAAGCCCCCCTATGTTCTTCTCAATGTGAACCATTCACTTTTGTGGGTGAACCAAAGCTGGGCTTTGTGGCAGCAGAGCAGAGCCTCAGGTTTAGCAGATATGATTTGGGGATTTCATGTGGCTCTCTGGCAACTCCACTGTCCCCAACTCCTCCTGGATTCTGAGGGGTAGCAAATGAGAACACTTGCTGGAACCCCTCCTTGTCACGTCTCCTCTTCCAGATCCCATGGACCCCGGCAACCTGCACAGACAGCCATCAGCATCGGTCCTAAAAAGAGCGAACTTGTTCTGGGTGAAGATTCTCCTGGAGGTAATACTTTTCTGTTGTTGTTTGTTTGCTTTAATGAGAAAAAAACCCAGATGCATTGTGGTAAAAAATCAAATAGTTTATATATTTTAATATTTATTTATAGATGTAAAGTATTGTTGAAATGCAAATGATTCTTTACAGTTTAAAAATAAAACATAAAACCTCTAACATGATGAACATGTTATGTGTAAACATTATGTGTAGTTCTAATGGGGAAGGATAGAGGTAGGGAATGCACAATGGAATTTTTATTGTTTATTTTGTGCCTAAAAAGAGCTCAGCCAAAGCCTTATCTGAAGAGAAACTTAATTAAACCTTTGGAAAAGCAAAAGCAAATCAAAAACGTAAGTCAGTAATTTGGGGCAGCAGTTAAAATTCTCCAGGTTCCTGAAGGAACTCTGCAGATCACTTTCACCCCTTGGTGTCTTCCCCAAGGCTGATTTTTGAAAATTTAGTACCATATTATGTTATAAACATTTCTCCAAGTCAGTAAAACCCTTAATAGACGTAATTTTAGTGGCTTTATAGTGTTTAATGGAGTAGATACTTAATCATTTTTTTGACCATGAAACATGTAGATTATCTGATATGTATATATCCATGTATCCATAGTATTTATAATATTCTTATGTGGTAGTTCCAGCAGAATTACCAGATGAAAAAGGATGAACATCTTGATGTAATATGAGGCATGTTGGTCCAAAGTCTTTTCCCAAAGGTGTTGTATAAATTTATATCCACCAGAAGAAAGTTCACCCCTGGAAAGCCTTTCCAGAATCTGGTGGTGTGCGTTTAAAGAGAAACATGTGCTAATTTAGTGACGGGAAAACGGTATCCAGTAGTTTCTTTAAATTGCTTTTCCTTGGTTGCTAGGTGGGTAATATCTTTCCCCTGTGTGTCTGTTAACAATTTGAAGTCCTTTGAGTGCTTCCATTAACTGTATTGACTATGTAAAATTCCACTGAGCAGCGAAACTGTAATTTACTTAATCATTTTTCTGCTGTTGGACACAAGTTGTTTATGAATGCTAGTATTATAAATTAATTCTTTTATTCAAACAGATGTTAAAAGGGTCGCTTCCATGTGTCAGCCACTGTTTGTGTAGCAGTGAAACAATTGGACAAAGGGATTGCTTTCAAGGAGTTTAGATTCCCCTGCAAGTAGACTAGAAACAGATAATCATAGATATGCTGCCGGGACTTAAGTGCTATGAAGGAATATAAACAGGGAAAGGAGAATAGAGGGGAGTGGGTAGGTGGAGTCTAGGCTATTTCATAGAGTGTTCAGAGAAGGTCTGACTAATAAGTGGCCAGAAAGAAGCAGGGGAGCAGCCAAGCAGATATCTGACGGAAAATATTTGATCAGAGTTTAGCAAATGCAAAAGCCCTGAGGCAGTTTTCAGAGAAAGAAGGAGGCAGCCATCAAGGCTGGTATGCAGCTTGTTAGGGGGAGATGAGGGGAGGTGAAGTCACAGATTACCAGCAACCAGATTTTACTGAGAATTGAAGAGCCATTACATTTTACTGACTCTGTAAAATTCCACTGAGAAGTGAAATTGCAATTTAATTAATCTTTTTTTTTTTTTTTTGCTTTGGACACAAGTTGTTTAGGAATTGGGGAATGGAAGTCAAATGATACAGATGATATGGCTTATACTTTTTTTTAAGGCCCCATTCCAGCTACTGACTAAGAACAGTAAAGAGAGACGGGGAAGCAGGGAGGGACCACGGAAGCCACTGAAGTATTTTTGGTTGGGTCATGGTGTGCGTAGGGGGGAAGGGTTGAATTTTAGACACAGCCTGGAGGATTGGATGATAGGTTGATTGTGGCATATGAGAGAAAGAAAGAAGTCCAGGATGACTAAGGACTGTTCAGCTTTAAGTACTATTCATTTAGACATGGAAAACTGCATGCTCATTCCAGAGTTCTATCTGGATGTAGTAAGTCTGAGATGATAGTTGATCTGGGGGCAGATGTCAAGTAGGCAGTTGGCTATGAATCTACCACTCCTGGAAGAGGTCTGGGCTGGAGGTGTAAATTCAGTGGTCATGAATGGTAAGAAATTAGGATGCCTCCAGGGAGTTGCCGTGGAGAGAGAGGAACAGAGATCTGAGAAGGAGGTTCTGGGCTTTCCTGCTTGGACTGATAAAGAGGAACCAACCAAGAGTCTAGGAAGACACACTGAGATAGGAGGAGAGAGGGCATTGCCCTGGAAACCAGGTGAATGAGGTGCTTCAAGGAAGAGATGGTAAGGAAGATGGGGCTGGGGGACTGAGAACTAGGTTTGGCTTGGGGATATCAGCAGGGGCCTCAAGTGGAGCTGTCAGTTGTTGGCAGCCGCGCTCAGAAAATAGCGCCCCATGCAGGGCAGCCGGAAGGCCCCGAACTTCCTAATGACAAATCATCCCACACCACTAAACTACATGCTAATTGCGCCTTGGCATAAGGACCAATGAGACCCACCAAATGGTTATGCTAATAAGGCATATGGAGCCGCACCAACCAGGTCAGAGCATGAGAACTATATAAGCAAGCCTCTCCTTCCCCTCTGGGTCCTGCCCAACTCATTTGTTTCACAAAGAGCTGAAGAATAAAGCTTTCTGCAGAAGAATCCTGCTGTTGTTGCATGCTGTTCTTGCCGGCGAGGACAGGGCACGCGACAAGTGGTGCCGAATCCCGGGAACCAGAACATCACCGGCACAGGGAGGACCCTTCAGACATCTGGAGAGGATTCAGAACTGCAGGTCAGAAGAAAGCCCGGAGGGGTAAGTTCCGAGAGGCCCCTGCTTTTTAGGATGATGGTTGATGGTTCTCTGTAAATAAGGAGGCACCATGGGGAATGCACCGTCATTAGTCACGGCGCTGCAGACAGCTCTCAAAGAGCGAAACTTGAAGGTCTCCAGCAAAGTCTTAGGATCTTTTGTGAAGGAGATAGACCGTGTGGCCCCCTGGTTCATTTGTTCAGGGTCCCTCTCAATCCCGAGCTGGGACAAACTGGGGAAAGATCTTGATAGAGAGGAGGAGGAGGGTAGCCTGAGGGGAGGCACCAGGCCCCTCTGGAAACTGATTAGAGCTTGTCTGCAAGATGAGAGATGTGAAAAGGTAATAAAAGAAGGTCAGAGAGCATTGACAGATATCCAAGAGAGCATGTCAGAAACGGAACGGGAAACAGAGAGCGCGCGCGGCCGAAAAAAGGCCACAAAAACGAAGGTAAAGAAACCTCAGAGTGAGGGAGAAAGCCCGCCTAGGGCAAAAGCGAAAGAGCCCCGAGAAGCGAGTGACGATCGCCTCGGAGAAAATAGTAAATACCCCTGGAAAGAGTTGAGGGACCTCCAACTCTCCAATAGGGAATCTGAGGAGGAATTAACGTCCGCAGAGGAAGGGGAAGAAAATAAAACCGCAGAGTGTAGAAGTAAGGGAACCAGCAAAGTTGAAAAGCGGACCAAGGAAAAAATGAAAGCAGGGTGTCCCCCGACGCCCTTTGCCCCGCCACCTTACGTGAGTGGCGCACTCTCCTTTTGCCACCCAGATACTCTTCAGGCAATTAGACAAATGTTTCCTGTATTTGAGGATAACGGTGTACGCTCTCACCAGCCCCTGAGCCATAAACAAGTTAAGGAGTTAGCAGAATCCGTTCGGGCTTATGGAGTCAGTGCTAACTATACCATAGCACAAGTTGAGAGATTAACAGAGACAGCCATGACACCCGCAGACTGGCAATATGTAACTAAGGCATGCCTTTCTAGTATGGGGCAATACATAGAATGGAAGGCATTGTGGCATGATATCAGCATGACCCAGGCACGCGCAAACGCGGCCGAAGGACAGCCTGCGTGGTCATATGATATGCTGACGGGCCAAGGACAGTGGGTAGCCAACCAGACCGCCTTCCCCTTACAGGTATACGCACAAATAAACACGTGCGCCGCCAAGGCATGGAAAGCCCTCACCAACAAAGGAGAAGTATCAGGCAATTTGACAAAAATTATTCAGGGGCTGAGCGAGCCATTTTCTGACTTTGTCGCTCGTATGATGGAGGCCGCAGGCAGAATATTTGGAGATCAGGAACAAGCAATGCCCCTAGTGGAGCAATTAGTATTTGAACAATGTACCAAGGAATGCAGACAGGCGATAACACCCTGGAAACAAAAAGGGATACATGCCTGGTTGAAAGCCTGTAGAGAAATAGGAGGGCCACTCACCAATGCGGGCCTAGCCGCGGCCATATTACAGAGCCACAAACAAGCCAGGATCACTAACAGAAGTATCAAATGCTTTCAATGCGGGAAATTAGGACATATAAAGAGAGAGTGTAGGAGCCCAGCTTCAGAACAAACAACCCAAAAGACCCCTGGGTTGTGCCCTAAGTGTAAGAAAGGCAGGCATTGGGCCAATGAGTGCCGGTCTATTAAAGATATAGAAGGGAAACCCTTAGAACTGCCAAAAAACGCCCAGAGGGGCCCCCGTCACCAGGGCCCGCAAATATATGGGGCAACCAGCACGCAAGTGTCATTCGGGAACAACCAGGCCCCCCAAGGAGAGCCACTTCAGGTTCCGCGGGATTGGACATCCGTGCCACCACCAGAATAGTGTTGACTCCACAGATGGGAGTTCAGCCTATCCCTTCAGACTTTAAAGGCCCCCTACCACCAAATACCATTGGGTTACTCCTAGGGCGCTCTTCTGCTGCATTGAAAGGCCTGGTAGTTCATCCCGGAGTCATAGATCAAGATTATGAAGGACAGGTAAAAATCATGTGTTCGGCTCCCAGAGGAATCTATCCTATATCCCCGGGAGACCGCATAGCCCAGCTCTTAGTTTTACCTAGTCTCCACGCCAATTATCCTGCTACCAACACGGAGAGGGGAGAAAGGGGCTTCGGCTCCTCTGACTGGGATTCAGCCTTCATAGTATTAGATTTAGCAGACAGACCAAAATTAACTCTTCAAATAGAGGGAAAGAGCTTTGAGGGAATCCTAGACACTGGAGCAGATAAAAGT